TCAGCAGTGCACATCACTCAAGAACCCCATATAGTACTGAACACGTGACGTCCCGGTTGGTAGTTTGAATACAACCGTTCTCTTGTGAGCAGCTGAATGGCAGTGTGATTAGCACTCACTTACGCAGGATAAAACGTCACCCACGTTCCGATCTCGGAAGCTATATCCCATGGTCACCTGTCGACTCGAGTGACGACTTTTCGTAAGGAAGTTTTACGTGAGTAGTGTTATATCCTATGTGCGAGTTATTCACTCTGCTCGTGGCAGAACGGTTGTGTTTGAAATACTAGCCGAGAAGTCGCATGTTCTCTACTACTTGAAGTTTTGTGAGATTAGCACTGTTTATGATTCCCATTAAGGATGAAACGGCTGTACAATGCATATCGATTTTTCAACACCTATAGAACGAAATCGCCATCAAAGTTTCCCAAATCTCCTCACACTACTAACAATCTATAAGTAGCTCAGAGAATGAATAAATTTCATCAGGTGAGTTAAACCTTAATCTGAGAAGTCACACACGTGTGTGGATCGGGTGACCGAATGATGAGTGGTACCATGTTTTATCTAGCTGAAAGTTACTCGACTGATGATCAGCCGCTCGTGACCGAAAGGTGATACGTTCATACTGCTATCCCCAAAATCACAGTTTCCAGACCCCCTGGAGTTTTATGATATTTCTCGAAAAGGCTGAGACAGCTGTACAATGCTTTCCAACTTTTCAGCGCAAGTATTCTTGGATGAACTGACCAAAGTCATCCCGTCCTTTGGTATGCACTTTGCACCCACAAAGTGTAAGGTCATGCTTGTGGACGTGCAGCCACTGAACACGCCACTTACAATCCAGGGAGAGGCACTGGAAGTTGTGGAGTGTTTTACGTATCTTGGAAGTTGTATTAGTGCTGACTCTCGACTTCCCCTGTCTAGGCTTGAGCAGCCTGGCAGTATCCCAGCCCTCGTGCTTCCTTCGTGTGGCATGGCAGCTAGACACCGAAAGGGTGCTACAGCTGAATGATGGTGATGCGACAGATGGGAC